AAAAAAAAAAAAAACAAAAACAAAGACAAAAACAAAGACAAAGCAAAACAAAACAATAATAAAAAAAAAGCAAAAACAAAACAAAAACAAAACAAAGGAAGAGATTTTAGCAGAATAGAGAAGAGCATAAATCACGGTTCCGGTACGATGATCGCTAGCCTCCACACGCTCCTATCCACCGCTAAATCCTTGGAGATATTCCAATTTTTAAGGTCTCTCTGAACCGACTCTTCCCAAGTGAATTTAGGTCGACCTCTACCTCTCTTAACATTATCGACCCGCTGTAGAACTCCCCTATGCACCGGTGCATCAGGAGGCCTCCGTTGGACATGTCCAAACCACCTCAGCCGACGTTGGACCAATTTCTCCTCAATTGGAGCCACTCCGACCCTATCTCGAATATCCTTATTCCGGATTCTATCCCTTCTTGTGTGCTCGCAAAACCAACACAACATACGCATCTCAGCTACACTTAGTTGTTGGACATGTTGCCTTTTGATAGGCCAATATTCTGCACCGTATAGCATCGCCGGGCAAATCGCCATCCTATAGAACTTACCTTTTAGCCTTTGAGGCACCCTCTTATCACAGAGAATGCGTACTTGCATGTACATTAGATTATGTTTTATGTGACTGAAAATATGAGATGTCATTGTATTGTAATTTCCAATCCAAAGTACAAAACTTTTGTGGCTTTTATTGTATAATAATAATCCACCGACCCTCCTCATATGTGTAAACAAATGCCTCTACGTGTGTAAAAGCAAAAATGTTCGCGTGCACACACACACACACACACGCACACACACACACACACACACACTCGTGGACTTTAATTAGCTGCATTTTTTTTTTTTAAATATTCACTACTACAAAAATCAATCTTAAATATCGTAATTGGCAAAGATTATAAGAAAAGATGTTCCACTTTGTACTATTTAATCACACACTTGCATGACCAAGTTTCTATCGTTGGATCATTAACAAAATATAAGTGATAACATATTAGAACGACTTTTGCATCTTATGACCATAATTAAATAATGTTGATTTTCTTAATTGGTAAAGTTCATATGGATAAGGGTTCATCGAAGTATTCTTCGTCGGTTCACATGTACCTACATGATATCGAGTTTTTCAGGGGCGATTGGACATAAATTATATG